CTTTTCTAAATTGTTAGGTGACATACTTGTAAAATCATTAATATCAAAAAATAAAAATTGGCGAGACGTTGAAATTGTTCCAATAAATTAAGCGGAACAAATGTTATAAGATTGTATTTCGAAGTTCTAATATAATTATCCTGAAAAAAAAAGTATAAAATTCCGGAAAATATATAATAGCATAATCCTTAAAAAGTATAACAATTTCAGAAAAAAAAAGTGCACTTATAACTTAACCATTCAGTCTTTTTTAATAGGAAAAATGAAAATTAAAACTGAAAATGTTTATAATGCCTTTCAAATGAAATACATATATTATTGAATGCTAACAGCATATTTGAATTGTTCATTAAATTCACGATCATTTGCTCGTAGAATCCGTTCCGGAATGGATGTCGTAAATTGATTACTTCTTCTTCGGTCATTTTTTCTTCCTGAATCTGTTGAACTACGGCACGAGAATAACTCGATTAAAGACATTAACCAGCCGTTTAAAAACGACCCTCTGAACGTTCAACTGTTACGTCTGGCCGAACTTTCTTCGACAGACACTCTGAAATATCACTCATCATAATCAGTGTTATTACTAGCATTGGTTCCAACAACAACAATATCCGCGTTGCTTTTTGTATTCCAAAAAAAAAAAAAGTAAAAATTTAAAAAAAAATGTATGTATGTAGATAAGAAAATGAAATCAAGGATAGATAATTTAGAAAATTTGAAAATATAGTAATAGATGTTTACCAAAAAGTGTCCAATCAGTTTATTGATTAATTAATTTCATTGAATTTATATGAAAAGAAAAAGATAGCTTATCATTTAGAAGATTTGCTAAAAATTTGCCAAAAAAAAAGGCTGAAACAAAAATAAAAATAAAAAGAATTTCATTAAAGAAAAAAACGGTAACTACTATATGGCGTTACCGTTTGTCGTAGTAAGTAATACAGATATACTGAATTGACATCAATTTTTGTCGTCTACCAACCCACCCGTCAACCACGTGTTAATATCATTTCACTTTCGGACTACACATACTGGAAAATAAAAGTGGACGAAGAAAAAAAAAAAAAAAACACATCTCAACTAATTCGTCGATTCGTAATGATATAAA